CTTTCCCCAGTGGTGTGTAGGTTCTTAGCTGGGGCCAGCGCTGACAAAGCTGGAATACATGAGAAAAGTTTGCTTGAAACAACATGTTTGTATGTGTGGACAGTTACAGGACAGGCTTTTTTTTTTCCCTTAGTTTAGCTCTGCTGTAATGCTTGCTTTAAGAGCATTTATGTTGCATATGCTGTAGTATGAGAAGCCTATTATACTTTACTGCCTTTTTGCATTGTGCTAACTGATGAAAAGGCTTTTGAGGTTTGTTCAGGGCTTTTGTAGCTGAAATCTACAATTTGTCTGCTCCTCTTTACCTGGGGAGGGTTTTTTATGCTTTGTCCAAACTAGATCCAAGTTCCCTTCTGTGCAGAGGAGCAAAACTGGGGCTTAAATGAGGCTTTAGTGGTGCATTGGCTACGTGTCCCAGAGTGTGAATTTCTTGTATATTATGAAAATACATCTTCTAAGATTTGTAGTCAGTGTGTTTCTTCTGACTGTATAGTACGTATCCAGTGACTGCAGAGCTCAGTGTCTGTTCAAATAAGCAGACTGCTTACTTTAGCAGCTTCAAAGCCACCTCTGGATCCCATCATTACTGTGGAAGGCCTCAGGAAGCGGGTGAGCCGCAATCCAGTCGAATCGGCCATGGAGCTGAAGGAGAAGAGATCTCGCACTCAGGAAGCCAAGGATATTCGGAGAGCCCAGAAGGAGGCAGCTGGCTTCTTGGACCGGAGTAGTTCCTCCACTCCCGTTAAATTCACCAGTCGAGGCCGTCGTCCTGATATTGTCCTTGAGAAAGGAGAAGTCATCGACTTCTCCTCCTTGAGCTCTTCAGATCGCACTCCTCTGACAAGCCCTTCTCCTTCCCCATCTCTGGACTTCTCCGCTCCTGGCACGCCAGCCTCACATTCAGCTACGCCCAGCCTTCTCTCAGAAGCAGATCTCATCCCAGATGTCATGCCACCACAGGCTCTGTTTCATGGTAAGAGACACCGTGTATTTTCATTAATAATAAGCCATACATAGTTGTCAAGGAAGATTTAAAAAAAAAAACAAACAAAACACACAAAAACTTCCAGTTTCAAGATAAGATGGAAAGTAACTGGTAAAATTTTGTTTGTCTTAGTTGCGTGTAAAGCTTGATTAGTTTTCCATAGTCATATTGCCAACTTCTAAGGGCAGAAGGAACCACCATTGTTGTCTTTTGAGGGATCCTGAATAAACAGTGGTTAGATTTCGCCTAGCAACTGCTGCACCAGTTAGCATAAGCATTTCACTGCGATACAGATTACGCTGTTAGATAGCAGCTCTAATTTTGGCTCAACTGTTTCTTAAATGGGAGAAATTTAATTCTCATGGTAATGTTCCAGTAATTCTCTGAGTTCAAACATCCCAATTAACAAATGTTACATTTCAGTCAGGTTGCAAAGCAGTGATGCAGGCTGAATGATTTTAGTTCCTTAAGGAGTCAGACCTCAGTCTAACTGGGGAAGTTGAGCGTAAAGCACTTCTTGTTGGAAGGAAGGATAATCAAGTTCTGTAGAGGGACAAATCCTGTGCTTCTGTGACTCCTAACTGTTCCCTCAGATTAAAGAGAACTTCTCCAGTGTATGCTAGCTGAAGATATAGCTCACCAGCTAGACCATTTGATTCCCAGTCTTCAGGAATTTTCAACCATTTAACACTTGTCAAAGAGCAGGAGCTTGCAGCTCAGGTGTGCCATGTTTTTGGATGCCAAACTGCAAGATGCCTTAGAAGCAGGACTGATCCTGTGTCCTGAAATTGGAATCCTTGCGGCATCTCCTGGGCAAAATCACGAGGTCCAGAAGTGTATAGAAAATTGAATGTGTTGGGTAAACCCACGTTATTTCTCCTTAGCAGAAAAGTCCTGTGATGACCCTTTTTGAAATGGGGCTTTGATGTTTACATTTTTTTTGCTGGATTGTTTTAATCTGTTGAACAGATGATGAGGAGATGGAAGGAGATGGAGTCATAGACCCAGGAATAGAGTACGTGCCCCCTCCCAGTGGGACAGCTGGTCCTGGCACTGTGATAGCAAGTAGAAAAAAAGTGAAGACGGCTGAGCAGATCAAGCAAGAGGTGGAGAGTGAAGAAGAAAAAACAGAAAGGATGGAAGGTGACAGTGAAGATCCTGAAGAGTCAAACATGTCGCTGCAGGTGAGGGGGCGAGACAAGAGAAAGCCCCAGCTGGAGAAGGATGCTAAACCCAGAGCTCCCAAGCACACCTCTGTTAGCATCTATGAGGAGAAGCTGCTGCTGAAGAGACTGGAAGCCTGTCCCAATGCCATGAGCATGACCCCAGAGGCCCGTAGACTGAGGCGCAAGCGTTGTGAATGCTGCACTGCTCTTGGTTGATGGGATTTACGGAGCCAAAGAAGGAGGTGTTTCCAGGTCCCCAGTAGGGCAAGCAACATACAGAACTACTAGCCAGGACTTCAGGATCTTGGACAGATACCAGGTGAGTGTTTCCAAATCTAAGTGAGCTTTTGGCACTGGTCATTTTAGAGCTTTTTCTGCAGACAGTGGTGTCATCTTGAGGTTCTCCGACTCCCATAGTGAAAAGGATTATGTGAACAAGACTCATTTTGACATGGGGCTGTGTCCCCACTAGTGCTCTCACAAGCCCCTTTCTTCCTGGGACATGCTCGTACAGTGTAGCTGTCTGTCAGTGTCAGCACCACAAAGGTCTACGTATTTATACTCCAGCCCTGCCCAAACACTGGTGCTGGAGGCCTGGAAGTGCCTGAATAGGCGGTTGCTCTTTCATGCTATGGAGGAGGGAGATCGCTTGCAGCACTTTTCTGTGTGGTATGTGCAGCTCATAGGTCTGGGCACTAAATCTGAGAGTGCACAGCAGCGTCCTTTGAGGTGAGACTGTCACGCTGTGGGTCCAGTCCATCCTGTCAGATGGAAAGGCCCTTATTCTCCCTCTGTGGATGTGACTCCCCTGTGTTAAGTCATTGACTAATCTTCATGAAATGTTCTGCATTTTTTGTACACATAGACAATGCTGCCTGCCATGAAGGGATATCGACAGCAGACAACGAAGTTTCTGTATCGACTGGTAGGCTCAGAAGACCTGCTGACAGACCACAGTATTGTCAGTCCTTACACATCCCGTGTCCTGAAACCTTACATCAGGTACAGGTGGTCAGAGGTTGAATTTGCTCTTGGCTTGTGAACTGACAGCCCACGGAGAGGACACCTTTCTTGGGCAGTGCTCCTCACTCATCCTTGAAGTACAACCCAGTATACTATGGTAACTCTGGAAGGATGGTGTTTTATTTAGCTGAGTAGTTAAACTGGCTCTGCATTGGGAAGGGAAATCTCCAAGAAAGGGCAGGGCAGAGAGGGAGTCACTGTAGTCATTCAGTGCAAGTTGCTCCTGCTCTTGGATCAGAACCGTGAGTTCCTTGCTTCTGCTATAAGGAGAGGTTGGCTTGGTGTGCTCCGGATCCGGGAAGTGTCCTGGCCTCTGGCACAAGGATGTTTTTGCTGAGCTGGGTGCTGTTTTCCCACATGAATGGAAGACTCTGTTCTTTTGTTCCGAGTTGAGCATGTCAGAAAATATTTCATGGGCAGTACCCATTCAGCTGCAGTGGAAGTTATTGTTGCTCACTCGCCTTTTGTGTTTGCTTTTTGTGTTACTGGCAGGCGCGATTATGAGACAAAGCCCCCAAAACTCAGGCTGCTGGCAGAAATCCGGGCGTATCCACACAGGAATGATCTCAACTGGAAGGCTGAGCCAGAAGCACCCGTTGATTACTGCTATGTTCGCCCTAATCACATCCCCACTATAAACTCCATGTGCCACGAATTCTTCTGGCCTGGTAAGATTCCTTCAGCACTTGGTTTTCTAAGAAGGCAGTGGTTTTGTTCAGAGAAAAGTATTCTTGGGCCAAATTTTTCTTCAGTTGATGTCTGGCTTGGTTCTTAGAAAACCATCATCTGATGCCACAGGAATGGAGCTGAGATGGAGACATGGGTTTGGTGTCTTTGTCTTTTGAGATCATTTAAAACTGGGCAATTAGACACTAATTAGTACAGCACTTAAACAGGTTGTTTTGGGTCACACCATTGATGCCAATAGGAGTAGTCAGTTACTAAAATTAAGCATCCAGTGAAACATTGTGCAGAATCAGGGGCTGAAGTAAACAGTTTTATACCAGAGATCTACTGCTCATTAGCTTTGTGAGAAAGTTTCTTCCTAGCAGCCATAAGCTGGATATGTTGGAGTTAAATTTGGGAACTGTGCTTAGAACTGCAAGCTTCACTCTGATGTCCTTTATTCCTTCAAGCCTCAGTATTTTCAAGGTATGGGAAAGCTCGGGTATCGAATTTTATGTGTCATTTCTTGAACTGTAGGTTCTTTGGGGACAGCAACTGCCCTTTCTGGGGGCAGTTATGAGGCTGTCGTTCTTCTGAAATAATAATAGTGATGTTCATCTACTGCATGGATCAGCTTCTGATCAGCAAACAACGCAGCAGAGTAGTTTAGAAAAGCCCAGTGCAAACAGTACACACCTTTATTCCGAGTAACTGTTTGCTTTACGTTTTGATTTGCAGGTAGTGATGCAACAGGGTTTGTAGTTGCACAGTGCTCATACACTGCAGGCAGGATCGGAGCTCTTTCTGCCACTCATTGTCCAAATTGTACAATTTGGGGCGGGGGGAGAAAGGGTGTACCTTCCCTTTCACAAGCTGTTGTGGAGCTCCTGAGAGACACTTGCAATCCCAACAGAGGCT